AAGATTGCGCCTTGGACATACTGGATTAAATAAAACTCTACATTTGATAGGTAAACATCCAACAGGTATGGATATGGAAACAGTAGAACATGTAATTATTCATTGTGAAAAATATACAGTAAGTAGAGAGAAGTTAAAACAAGAAATTAGGAAATATGATATAGAAACATTAAAGCTTAATAAGATTTTAATTAAACATAAAATAAATAAAGCAGTTATTGCATTTTTGAAGGTAACAGGATTTTATGTAAGAATTTAGATTGGGGGGAGATGCTCTGGTCCAGTAGATGGCGATAATACATATTAACGTTAGATGTCACCTGCCAATAAAAACCACAAAAGAAGAAAGAAGAAGAAGAGAATCTGAGTTATAGGGACAAACTTTCTCTCTGTAGAGGAGGGCATTATTTGCAGGGGTCACTTCTGGGGGAATGTCTGGTGTAGTCATGTCTTGATTACCTATTGTGTTCACCCTCATGTGTTTAAATCAGTGTTTTTCAACCTTTTTTGAGCCAAGGTACATTTTTTCCTAGAAAAAATCACGAGGCACACCACCAACCAAAAATGTCAAACAAATCTGTATCCGCCTATAGTAACACTATAGTTATTCTTATTTTATTCTAATCTTATCTTATCTTAAGTGTCTTGAATAGGAATCAAATAAACACAAAAATGTATTTTTTATCATATTTTATATTTCTTCTTTCAAATTGCTCTTAACATGTCCACTTCAATATACAAAATTATATACAAAATCTAGTCATAAGGAATTATTACATGATTACTCCACCAGTCACTAGAACAGCACACACACTCAGAAATGGCAAATTATTTGCAGATAATTCTTTATCAAAAAGTATTTTTAGACCAATGAGGTGAAATAGGATGATTTTGCTGTTTTTTCCTTTGTGTCTTCGTCACCTTCATTCCTCGTCTTGCCCACGCCATGTAAGATTTAGATTTTTGCACTTTGCCACAGCCTTGTTTTACCATATACTCTTGTTTATCTTGTTTTGATACTTTTGCCAAAGTCTTGTTTACTTAATTTGCCACTTTGTTCATAGTTTTGTCACAGCCTTGTTTTTTAACCTTGTTTGGTCAACCACTCCTTTTGAGTGCGTTTTTTGTTCCAATAAACCCTTAAAAAACCATCACTCTCCGCATTTGAGTCCACCCTGAAACCCACCGCAACTTTTCTCCATTTCAATTTGGCCTTTCCACATTTGCTGTTCTGGTGATCTATGTCGCGTGTTTCTCAGAGCTGTTTGCCAGAAGTTTTTGTGCAAAGTTGGATGAGACACAAGCTGCTTTGTTTATTAGATCGGGCTGCTAAGATATTCTCATTCCTTGAATCGGACTTCTAGCGTGCTAGCTTATTAGCGCCCATGAACGGGAACGTCTGGACTCAATCGGTGGATTGTGGCGTTAATTGATTGATTTTTTATGATTGAATTGATTGTTGTGTGTTTGAATAATGGATTTAGGTGTTAAGTTTAGCCATTAATCAATTTAGCATTAAGGATAACAACGTGGAGTTATTTATATTTATAAAGTAAATATTTATGACTGGTATTTAGAAGTAGATATTTGTATATTTAAATGAATATAAATATTATGCAATTGTAAATATGAATTTTAAATGTACTTTAAGGTTAAGGAACTTAATTACTTGTTAATTTAACTTTGATTTACTTTATGGGTTTGATTCACAGTGGTTTGCTTATATAATTTGAGTGAAGGTGTTATATCATTTGAGGGAAATTAATTTATGTAAACTTATATACAGATAATTAATTATTTATTTTTCTTCTTTTGGGTTTGTTTAAAGGTTTTTACCTGCTTCTGGACCAAAGGTCAACATGTTCTAATACACATTAAATAAATGGAGAATGGAATGAAGAGAACCACTTGGTCCTTTGAGTAAAAAACTGCTGATTAGAGTCTGCATCATTTCATCAAGTTAAAGAAAGAACTTGACACTTAATGTCCTCACAGGTGCTTTGCCTCAGAGGCTGAGCTTTATGGAGCAACAGGTCGAATTATCTCTGGGTTTTGTTTGCCTGACTAGAGGACGCATGGATCCACTCAGCTCAACTCAAACTTTCTTTTATTGACTTTTGTCACACTTTTTCGAAAGGTAAGCAGGCAGGTTGAAAACCTCAGAAAGAAAACAAACAGAAATTAGTGCCACAATAAACCATGCAAACATGTTAAATCATATATGTTGGACTTAGTCTTGGAAAAATAAATACTTTACTAACCATAAGTGGGGAAATGAAGTGAAATACTCACCAGTAGCGTCTCTGTGTTCAGTCAAACAAAAGAGCCACTCTTCTTCTTCTTCTTTGTGGTTTTTATTGGCAGGTGACATCTAACGTTAAGATGTATTATCGCCATCTACTGGACCAGAGCATCTCCCCCCAATCTAAATTCTCACATATAATCCTGTTACCTTCAAAAATGCAATAACTGCTTTATTTATTTTATGTTTAATTAAAATCTTATTAAGCTTTAATGTTTCTATATCATATTTCCTAATTTCTTGTTTTAACTTCTCTCTACTTACTGTATATTTTTCACAATGAATAATTACATGTTCTACTGTTTCCATATCCATACCACACTCACAAATACCTGTTGGATGTTTACCTATCAAATGTAGAGACCTCTCTGCTTCTTGCTCTATCCCCTTTTTCTAAACAAGTGAACGTTTGGGCTCTCTAGCGCCCTCTGCACCACTTCACGCACCAAATAACCATCACCATAGAGTGAAAAATATAAAGAATGAGATCTAAATAGCACTTAACCCAACAGGATCTGTACGTAAACATTACTGTCTCCAAAGGCTATTCAGGAATGAATGGTAGTGCAAAAGACCTATGGCATCAAAAGAAAATAAAACCATTAAGTGGACGAAATACTTAAAGTAGTTGCAAATCTGATAAATTAGAGTTTGATTGACATCACAGAAAAGAGATTAAACTAACGCACTTTTACTCTTACAGCCGTCTCCTCTGTTTCACACAAACACACTCAAACATTCCTCTATTCAGAAAATGAGAAACCTCAAAGAGCTGATTTTATCACTGAGAGCTCTTCACCACAGCCATTAATCAGATCTACAGACCAAAATCTGGAGAGTTTAAGGAACATTTTAGCACAAGACAGATACAATTAACATCAAATGATTTTGATAAACACATAAAAAAGTGTTTTTAGAGTGAGGACAGTCCCCTGACACAGAGTGTGATGCAGACTGAGGTAATAGGAAGTTATTTAGTGAATTATTTAAATTTGCAAATACAAATACATATAAAGCGTATAAGCCAAAAGAAGTTCTAAATTCTAAGAAGATATCTGCACGGACAACCTTTCTATGTGTCAGTTCTCTATGTCTTTAAGTCAGGAAGGGCATTTGTGGATGAGGTTTTCATTTTAATTTTCCCCATGTCAACTAAATTGTCATTTGACTAAGTTATATCCACATCATTTCAGATGTAAACATTTTGCAAATCTACTGTATGGAGTTTGATCATTGGATAATCATGGAAGCACGCAGTATCCTGCAATAATCCCATTTTCAACTGCAGTAATTTGAAAGGATCTTAGGAGGAAATGCAGGAATCAGATGAAGCTGCTGATATCTTAAATAAAATATTAGTTTGAATTATACAAGCGTTATCGCTGGGGTTATTAAATGTAAATAACACACAGCCAGAACATGTGTTGCCATATAAGCTCTAGACACTTTGGGATGTTTTCTTTGTGTGAGAATATGAGAAACACGTCTGAGGAAGG